TTTATCATTTAGCCCTGTTAACCCAAATAGCCTGTGAAGACAAACTGTAGTTTCATAAATCGAAAGTAAACGTAAATACCATAGTAGATAACTAGTCAGCTGGTGCCTTCACAGCCTCTGATAAAATAAACAGTCTTGATGATTTTGCGTGAACAGCTGGGATAGGCATATGCCGCGAACCATTGGAGGTGGGCATGACAAATAGACGGTTTATACAGGGAGCAAACGCGTTACAATTCACTGACCTAACACCTGCTTCCATGAGAATGTTGGGTCACTCATGGCGTCAATGTATTGGCTGATTTGTATAAATTTTCTTCCCTTTCTGTCTTTTGAAATGCAGTCTTACGTAGATTTGTTAATTTATCTCTTCGAAAAATGACCATCAAACTAGCGAAAATAGTTAGGGAGTCTCTGGGGATGACAGCATGAAATCAACACTCTTGGTATGCTTTCGGGGAACTAGATAATCCCTTTGAAAAACCCGGTTCTGTACGCTCTAGAGAGTACTAATTTAAATATCTATAATTCAGGTACTGAAGTATCGTTCCGATCGCGTTCCTGTGGACAGTTAAGCAGTATTTATGTAGTGGGTAAAATACCGCATAATATGCATGCTGTTGGTCAGCAGCGAGGGAAATTGATGAATCAATAATTCTCTTTGTTCTACGTTTACGTTTACCCTTCATCCCATCATCAAAGATATTACCAGAGGCTGTTTGATTGCGAATCAGAAACATCAGGCGAATAACATTCTTGGTCAGCAAGTCGCAGTCCATTCTGCTCAGCAGCCTCTCGCAACTCGCATTTTCGCCTGTGTTGACAATGAGTGCCCGTGTCCTTCAGCGATTTTTAGCATACTTAATGGAAACAAATAATACGTCCAATCATCCCATCGCTTTTGTACGCTGCCAGTAAATACTTCAGGTTGCAGGAGAACCGTTCCATTGCGCGGCTGCATATTATGTGAGGCAATCTGATCTCAATCTTACCTGTACCTCCTTAAATGCTGCCACATCGAGTGCCCACATTCAAAAGACCCTGTAAAGCTCATGTGCTGTTACAGAGATGTGTGTTATTTAATTTGAGAACAAAAATAAATTTATATGCCATATCTCGAGAAGCTAAAATCAAATAAAGGAAATATTTTTTTCTTGTGAGACGGTAACCTGAGATAACGAATCATTACCCATGAGCAATTCCACTGAGCATAGCTCTGAAAAACTGGTTCAGCTTAGGAAAACATAGGCTAATCGGAAAACCTAAAGCCGGTGGGCCAGTTTTAGTTCAGTGTAACAATAAATCAAAGGTCACAGTAGTCTTTGCACCATTAGCCACATCCTAAAAGTGTCGTTACTTTTTTTAAGAATAATCGAAGATTAACACAGGGGTATTGTCGAGAAATGATAACACCAGGAACTAGGCAGTTCGACCGGGTTTCAGTCGGCAAAATACAGTAAACAACCTACAGTGATCACCTAACGTTGCGTTATTCATTGAGCACTGACTCGTGCGGTAATATTTCAAGAGTTAATTGTTCATAAGCGATCAATACAAAAAAGGACAAAACCTCCCAGATTTAAAGTAAAATTTCTAGTAATGGCAAAATTCTGCGACTAAAATGTTTTTGTCAAAGTTCGCCGACATTTAACTCCAGAAAACCAGCTCATGGTCAAATCCGCGTATGTTTGCGTAAGTTTAAATGTATATGTTTAAAATTAACTAGCGATGGTCATTCTATTTTCATGGCATAACTCAAGAAAACATTCATGCGGGAAGTCAGAGACGGGCCATGTGAAAGGCGGTAAACAGGGTTGTGTCACTAGTTTACGTGAAGAATTAGTCGTAGGCTCTACGTAAGCTATGAAACCCTCAGTTACTTAAAACTTCCATCAGCAAGGCGATACATAACCATATAAAAGTGTGTCTAAGTAAGAGTCCATCATGGCTTTCGATAAAGGCTTGCTAAATTTCCACAAAGTTGTGGTACCCGCTAGTAACTTATGGTAGAATTTGGTTCTAAAATAACGTCTCTTTGACAGATGGAGACAACGCAATTCACTCGCTGACCAGTGAAGGTAAGGCTTGAAACTTCGAAAGGAGAAGGGGGCAGTGAATCATGGGTATACATCACAAGGTTAAAAAGAGAAAACATACGCACCAGTTTTTGAAAATAAAGAAATTAACTAAGTTACTAACAACATCTTACCTCATGTCAGTCATTGTCATTCAGTCATTCTATTTGAGGGAAATAGGCTTACGCCTTTGAACTCCCTATTTGTACATAAAAAATCGATAAACAAGCATTAAGTGAATGCATACATTGATTCACATATGTCACTAGTCACATGGCTAAAAAGTCACATCGTCCGCTTGTTGCTGCAGCATATATCTGTCAAATGTCTCCACAGATTGAGACATAACAACCGTCTCGGGCAGGTTATTCCACGATTCCACGACACGGTTGGAGAAGAAATATTGTCTCACATTCAGTCTACCCTATGGCACACGTAGCTTGAAGGGATGTCCCCGGAGGTGAGTTGTAGTGGCGAGTTGGAAAAAGTCATCGCGCCGAAGGGCACAATCCAAGACGCGCACGATACGGAAAGTTTGTATCATGTCTCCGCGCAACTGCCTATAACTCAGAGGATAGAGATTAAGGTTAGTTAAGCGGATTTCGTATGGCAGTGCACTTTGACCTCTTATTAATTTTGTTGCTCGTCTCTGCACCCTTTCGAGCAGATCGTAATCCTGATGCGGCCACGGTCTCCAGGCCTGAATTGCATATTCGAGATGGGGCCTTATAAACGTGCTGAAGACTTTGGTGAAGCAGTCTTTATCGAAAACTACGAATGTCCGCTTGATGGCATATAGCATTGAGGTTGCGGCCTTGGCCGCCTTACAGCATTGTGTAGAAGGCTTTAGGCTGTCTGCAACCCAAACTCCGAGATCTTTCTGAGTTTCTGCTTCTCGGAGTGGCATTCCGTTCAGATGGTATTGCCGCGTACTAGGGCTCTGATTTCCGAGGCGCAGAATGGTGCATTTGTCCAAATTGAAGGACAAGAGCCATCTGCGGGACCACTCGTCCAATCGACAAAAATTTTCTTGGAAGTTGGTCTCATCGGCAGCATTCGGGATGACTTTCCAGATTTTTATGTCGTCCGCAAACATGGCGCAATCACAGTCCAACCCATTTACACAATCATTGATGAACAAGAGAAAGAGGGTTGATCCGAGCACCGAGCCTTGTGGGACCCCACTCTCTATGAATGTGCACCTTGATCGCTGTTGTTCTACGCAGACAATTTGGGAGCGGCCGACAAGGAAATTTTCGATCCATTTGAGAAGTTTGCCACCGATGCCCATAATTCTCAACTTGTGTAGGAGACGCTGGTGCAGAACACTGTCAAACGCCTTCCGGAAATCAATATAAGCAACATGCACGGTGTGTTTTGCGTCCAGTGCTCGTGTCCAACTTTGCATTGTGTATAGCAAGTTCGTAACACATGATCTTCCCCTACGGAAACCATATTGTGCATTGGACAAGAGGTTGTGGGTTTCCAAGTAAGCCATCAACTCCTTTTTGATGGTTTTCTTCATTACTTTGCAGCAGATTGAAGTCAGACTGACGGGTCTGTAGTTTGTCGCCAGAGCACGACTACCGCTTTTGTAAAGGGGTGTAATGTGGGCCGTCTTCCAGTCTGTGGGAAGAATTCCAGCATCAAAGATTTCTGGCACAGAAAGGATAGTGGCTTGGCCAGCTGTTGGGCAAGCTCAAAGAGCAGCTTTGCTGGGATCTCGTCCGGACCGGGAGATTTACATCCCTTCAAGCTTTTCAGTTCTTCCAAAATCGCTTCTTCTCGAAACAAAATGTTTTCGATAGTGGGATCTCTCATGTTCTCAGAATTAGATGGGGTAAAGTCTGCTTCTCTTGTGAAAACGGATCGGAAAAATTGAGAAAAGTGCTCAGCCTTATTTGTACCGTCCGATATTTCCAAACCGTCATCACCCCTCATAACAGGAATGGGATTCCTGTTACGTGTGCTCTTCCGCAAATAGCTATAGAGCAATTTCGGATTTTTAATGGCTCGATGAAGCAAATTGCTCTCAAAATCCCGTCGCCTCCTGAAAATCAGACTTTTCACCTTGTTTCTTTGAACTTTGTACTCTGTAAACGCTGCATTGTTGTTGTTCTTGCGAAATTTCTTCCATAACCTTCCTTTCTTATTGATCTCCTTTTTGAGTTCTCGTGTTAGCCACTGAGGGCGATTGGATATCCTAGGCTTTGATAAGGGACAGTGGTTCTTCATTAGATGCAGTAAACGATCCTTGAATGAATTCCAGTCCTCGTTAACGTTTCCGGAGAAGAGAACATCCCAGTCTTTTTGTGATGCCTCCGATCTCATTTGGCGAAAGTCCCCTTTCCATATATTTGGCCTCGTATTGTCTTTTGTACACGGTTCAGAATACAGCAATTACTCCCATGAAAGCACTACATGATCACTTCGACCGAGCGGGGGTAGGTAGTACACCTCGTCTATACTGTCAGGATCTTTGGTAAAAATGAGGTCCAGACAACTGGCCTGTTGCCCTCCACGTGCTGTAGTTGGAGATAGGACACGTTGCGTGAGAAGAGCTTGTAGGGTTGTCTTTAATAGACGGTAATCGAAGGCATTCTTCGAGCACTTCGCATGCATATCGCTCCATTGAATGCAGGGTGCATTAAAATCCCCCATGAGAACAACGTCTGGTCGACTGGCGATCTCTTTTATGCTTTCCAGTAGACAAGTGTCTAAGTCGGGATCCGCCTGAGGGGGCCGGTAGATAGTTACGATTTCGAGGGACTGAGATCCCCGCGCCTTTATAGTCAGCCAAATTGCCTCTGTGTCGTTAGAAATCTTGTCGGTCCTCTCACACACTGCTAAGTTGTTCTTGACATACATGGCAACTCCTCCACCCCGGCGGCCTCTCCTGTCTCTCCTAAACAAATGGTATCCTGTTCATGCTACCTCCCAATCACCAACGTCCTCTGACAGCCACGTTTCTGTTATTGCTATAACATCGGGAGGAGTATCGGCTACCTGTATTCTCAGTTCGTCAAGCTTGGAAAACAGACTCTGAGCATTGGTGTAAAATAATTTTAGTTTGCAACATTCGACAGTGCTTCGTTCGGTTTGTCTCGGCTTTGCCAATATTATGTTGCTGCCGCCATCATGATGACTGGCTGGTTCCAAAACAACATCGCGTTCCTCTGTATCACTCGTCCCCTGAAAATGGCCAAGTTGCTCTCTCCCGCTGCAAGTCTCCTCTTCAGCTCCGTTACCAATTCGCGGCGTTTCAGACGTTCCGCTGGAGAATAGTCCGGCTGAAAAAACTTCCTTGTGAGAGTTTCGGAGGCTGCTTTTCCTGGACAGAAGTAGGCTAGCCTCCTCTTTACTGTTCAACACAATTTTCAGAGGTCGTGGCCGCACAGTTTCCGATTGTTCGCTCACCTTCTTTCCGATCCTGATGGCTGCGCGAATGGTTATCTTTTCATTTGAATTAAGCATTTTGTTCAGTAGGTGTTGAAGCGTATTAAGGTCAGCCGATATCCTCTCCTTCGGGGTAGGAGCATTCGACTCCGATAGGCCTTGGACGACTACGCAGTGCTGAAGATCAAGGGGTTCATTTGTTCTGTTTCCGGCGGCCTTGTCAGCTGAAGGTCTCAGAAGATCCACCGGAGTCGTCTGGGGTTCTATACTTCCGTTGTGGCTTTTACCCTTTCCATCTTGCCATGAGCTTGTTTCCTCACTTCCAACTGAGGGTGCTGTTGAACACGCGGAATGGCTGAGAGAAGTTGATGGTTCGCTTAGGTTGCCTTCCATAGAAACATGAGACTCCGTTGCTATTTTCCCATCGTCCTGGGTATCGGCGCCCTTGCACATAGATTTTCCACAAGCTTTGTTCTTTGGCTGTTTTAGAGCTTTGCTCTATCCCTTTTTCTTGCTAACTTTAGCGCTATTCACCGCGTTTTGCACACCATCGTTCGCTTGCACGAGTTCCCTTAAAGCAGTCAGCTCTTTTTCGAGTTTCTGGACTTTCAGCAGAATAAAGGAGCATCCAGTGCACGGCTCGTCCTCGTAACTAACAGGTTTTGCTGTGATAACGCTTTTAGCGCGCTTTGCGGGCCTCTGGTTGCAACTATAAAGAGAGCGAGCGCTAATCCTAAGTGGCAAGGCCTTCTCAATAGACTTTCCTTCATACATAGTGTCGTTTGTACTGCGAATAATGTTTACTCCATTATTTATTTCAGCCAGCTGGCCGTGCGCCGATAGTCCAGCGGTCATCTCGCTGGTCACACAACGACTGGACCTGGGTTCGAATCCCACTTGCGGCGAGTTTTCCGCACATGTCCTGATGGTGTTTTGTCGACTCCCATTATTAATTCAAACGATACGCAAGGGATTCTAGGTATGGACGAAGTATTTAAAGGTGTAGGAGAAGCTTTTTAACCAAGCCAACAATATGAAGTAAATATCAGACGACTCAGCCGCTTCTGGATCAGGAGAGCCCCGCGGTGTTGTTGGCAGAGAATTGATACGAAGGAGTATGGTCGTCCCAAAGAAAGTTCTGTCGGAGGTCTGAGGAATTGCTGATTACGCTTCAATTTCTTAATCCAAATGGGCCCGCCGAGCGTCCAGTAGGCAGAAATCCCCGAAAAAGCAAGTCCCTCGGAGGTCGAAAATTCCAAACCGAATTCGAAAGACGCGGGCTTTACCTCACCCAACGGCGCTTTGTCCAGTTATTAGAATTGCAAAGAGTGCTACTCATGTAGTACTAATGTACCGGGTCTTGTAAATCAGCCTATCCTCTCGCCAGTTAATAAGGTTTCTCCTTACAAATTACTAAACTATCACGCCTGGCGTTAAGTTTCGGGTTGTTCCGTGCCCTATGAATAATTTCCTATGATTTGTATTGCACCGTCCCTTCAGAGCGAAGTTGGTCTATTCAGTTCAGTTCAGTTTATTTGGGAAAAACATAAAGGTTGAATCTTCGAACTCCCTGTTTGTTACAAGGAAGAGAAATATATCAAAAATTGAAAGTGAAAACATCGAACAGCTACAGAAGTTTTTCGAAAAAAAGTCACATAAACGAACTGCTCTAAGTGTTAAAAACATAAACATATCTACATGTGCTGTACAGTAGTCAGTCAATGCATAATTGGTGCGATCTCAGTTTCCGAGGGAGACGAATTGAACGCCGACTCTCACATCCAGCGGACAGGGGACTATAATAGAAAACAAACGGTATTCAAATACAGGCAGTAATATAGTAACATTGATAAACTATTCGAACGAAATTATAAGACGATGTCTTTCAGGTGACATTATGACGTTCAGTCGTACATTGATCCAAATTGCGCTTAAAAGCCTTGACGGCGGTGGACATGATGACATCTGTAGGCAGAGCATTACAAGCCTCGATCACTCTTTGATAAGGAGAACTTCCGAATGTCCAGCCTGGCGCCAGTCACACGTAATTTAAATGGATGACCTCCGAGGTTCGTTGTGGTTTCTGACTCAAAGAAATCAGCCGGCAAGACATAGCAGTCCTGGCCTCGCATTATACGGAATGTTTGTTTAAGGTCGCTTCTCAGGTGTCTGTAAATCAGTGGAAAAAAGGCCGAGATCGGATAGTCGTGTTTCATAGGGTAGTGAACCCTGTCTACTTACGAGTTTGGTTGCCCGCCTTTGAACCTTCTCAAGGATGCTGAGATCTTTAGAGATCCAGAGTTCCTACGTCTGAATGTCGAACTCTAGCTGTGGCCGTACAAACATCCGTAAGGCTTTAATGAAGCAGTCCTCGTCGAAGGTGGAGAGAGCGCACTTGACAAGATAAAGGACTGACGTCGCGGACTTGGCTACCATGGAGCAGTGGAGAGACGGTTTAAGGGAATCCGTGACATACACACCCAAGTCTTTCTGAGCGTCTACCTCATGCAATGGTACGTCATTTACATGGTAAACGCTCCGGCTCAGAGATCGGGTCCTGCCAACTCGCAAGGCATTGCACTTAATCACATTAATCGTCAAAAGTCAGTCCTGTGCCCATTTCTCGAGTCGGGTCAGGTCTGTCTACAAGTGCTCTTCGTTAAATTCGGTTCCGATGGTGCTCCAAAGCTTAACATCATCAGCGAACATGGCGACATCACAGTTCAGTTCACTGACGCAGTCGTTGACGTATATAGTGGACAGGGTAGGACCAGGGACGGAACCTTGAGGAGCACCGCTTTCAACCGCTACTTCTGCCGACTGTCTGTTTCCGACGTCGAGAATTTGAGGGCGACCGGTCATGAAACTTTGAATCCAAATCCTTTTTAAACGTCCTTCAGTGTTCTTGATTTTTATTGTGCCCTCTGAGCTGCAAACTGAATCATGCCTATATAAGAATTCGCAGTCCACTAATAGACTTTCGCAGGTCATACCTGTCTAATCGTAAACAAAAGGTTTTGGTGGGATCTTCACTTTCCGGTGAAAGCCCTATTGTAAGTGGTGTCCTACAAGTTACCGTTTTAGGTCCTCTTTTGTTCTTGCTTTACGTAAATGATATTTCGGCAGCAGTTGAACATTCTCAATGATTTATTTATGCCGATGATCTCAAATAAGTATATTCTTTCAAAAAATCTACGAGCCTTCATTGCCTGGAGCAAATCCATACAGACTTGCTTGCTCTTTCAGCTTGGAGCTCAAAATGCCTAATGGAATTCTCTCCGTCTAAATGTCGCTATATGTGTTTTGGGCCTGATAGGCTACCCCAACCAGTGGTCTTTCAAGGCACACCTATGACTCAATGTACCACCATCAAGGATTTGGATTTAATCTACACTAATAACCTTGATCTCTCGCCACACGCTGACAGAATTACAGCCAAAGCTGCCCATATTTGTGGCTTTATTTCTTACAATTTCTATCTTCCATGAATTAAACTAAGGCTCTATCGTATGTTTGTACTTCCCATTCTCGAGCATTGTTGCCCATTCTTTGGTTTGATGAATGAAGCTAGCAGTTTAAAAATTGAAAATGTCCAAAGACGTTTTTCTAAAAAAGTTTTAGATAAGGAACATCCCAGTGTCTCCTACTCAGATAGATGCCAGCTAATTAAGCTAAATTTTTTATGGGATCAAAGGCTAGAAGCGGCTATGTCTCCTCTTTCGCATTAATCATAGTTCAAATCTTCCTCGGAATTAAGTACTTACCCCTAGAAGTCGCCCATACAATCTTCGTAACTCTTCATTGATTATACCTCCTCCTGCTTCCTCCTTCTGTAAGCGTTCTCTATTTTTCGCTCCCGGATATACTTTCCTCTGGAATAGCCTTCCAATAAATATAAAATCTTCAGGAAATCTACACACCTTTAAGAGAAGGCTACGCCTTTATCTGAATACTGACTCGATTAAACTTTAATTTTCCTCATCCTTCCCAGACAGCTTTTTCTATAACACTGAAAAAGGGCCCCCGGGAAATTAGTATGCCGCCATTACATTTCCGCATCTGTTCACATTTACTTCCTTTGTGAGTAGTCTCGCTTCCTAGGATCCCTCAACAGAAATGTTAATTTTTCCGATTTTTCAGTTCATGCATCGTGCCCTCACAGAATGTGCTCCATCGACGCTCTTGGCGAAACCTTGTGTTTTGCCATATACTAGTAGTCTGGTCGTATCTCCCTTGCCCCATCCTTGGATGGACTCGGATGAATGTAACCGACGGCATCTGGGTTCCTATCGCCTCGAGACTGGTTTTCAATCTCTCCATTATTCAGGGCCACATACAGACCAGTCCTGACCGACCCGCCTACTTACGCCTTCATGAAATCCGTTATACAATGCCATACACAACTGACATTTATTTCGGTTCTGAAGATGTCCGATTATAATCCATTTTATACCGCCATATGCAGGCCAGACCTGCCAGCATTTTTCTGTTTCTATTTTTTTCGAGGGGTTTTTTTCCTCCTGCAAAATTAATCCAATCATTTTTAAATCTATATGTGGAGTTTTTTTCACCCCTCGTTTATCATTTTTCTTAACGGACTTCTAATTCAAAAACTATGTATTCCACTTTGTACAGATTTTGCCTACCTCGTCTAAAATTCGCATGTAAATTTATTTTTACTTGCTTAGATGGGACCCCCACGGGTCTTTAATAATAAAATAACTATTAATTTTTATACAAGCATATGCAGACGTTTTCACGTTCTTCGGGGTTCTCAAAAAATTTGTTTTGATATTCATCCGGACACACACATAGAACAGGCCTGCCGCCCACAAAGTGCAGGAAAACAAAGATAGCCATTCCTGATCAATTTACCGTTCTCGGTCAGGCATACATAAAACCTATACCAGAAGTAACTGGGAAGAAAACTGGATCTTTATGTCCCTGGGCATGAGGAAAGGAAGGCTCTCCTATTGCGTCGCCATCTTGCATCCGGCACAATTATTATTGGTAATTCCCAAGGTTACAAAATTGGGTTTCATCAGCATATACTTAATGCATCAAAGTGCCAAGATATGCTTGGCTAATGACGACGAATAAAATAGCTGTGTCCAGTTCGCTCTCTCTTTTTACATTTCTACATGTTTTCGAAGGGTTGCTGGCAAAGCCCCTCATAACTCCACTATTGCATATTTGCATAATGTTTGCACTTCACAATAATAATCAATCGAAAATGACTGCTGCTGCTAACCGTGACGCAGTGCGGAAGGAGTTTGGATAAATAAGTGATTTAAAAAGTTGATTTCATGTAATCTCGACTGTATTGAATAATAAATACGGTGACAAGATAGAATCAGCACCGCCGGATGCGGGATAAGACGTAATGGGTGGAAGAACTGAACGACCCGTCTTCGCCTGCCATATTCACCTGGACCACGCACGACCGACCTGGTTTCCACAGAAAAAAGAAGTGGTCGGCTCCAATTCAATTCAATTCAATTATTTTATTAAAGACCCGTCGGGGTCCCATCAAAGCAAGTAAAAATAAATTTACATGCAAATTTTGGACGATGTAGGCAAAATCTGCACAAAGTGCAATGCATAGTTTTTGAGATTAGAAGTCCGTTAAGCAAAATGAAAATGAAAAAAAAAACGAGGGGTGAAAAAAAAAAACTCCAAAGCAAGATTTAAAAATGATTGTAGTAATTTACAAGGAGAAAAAAAATACCCCTCAGAAAAATAGCATCAGAAAAAAGGGAGGACTGGCCTGCATGTGGCGGTACAAAATGGAATAAAGCCCGACATCAACATGGCCGAAATAGATGTCAGCTGTATATGGCATTGTGTAACGGATTTCATAAAATGGTACGTAGGCGGGTCGGTCAGGACTGGCCTGTATCGCCTTGAATAAGAAAAATAAGTGCCGAAATTGAAAACCAGTCTCAAGCCGATAGGAACCCAGATGCGGTCAGTTTCATTCAACCGAGTCCATCCGAACATGGGGGGAGATGCGACCAGACTACTAGTATATGGCGAATATAGAAGGCTTTGACAAGACCGCCGATGGAGCGCATTCTGTAAGGGCATGATGACAACCAGTTTCGAGGCGACAAGAACCCAGATGCGGTCGGTTTCATTCAACCGAGTCCATCCGAACATGGGGGGAAGGGAGATGCGACCAAACTACTAGTATATGGCGAATACAGAAGGCTTTGTCAAGATCGCCGATGGAGCGCATTCTGTAAGGGCACGATGACAACCAGTCTCGAGGCGAAAAGGCCCCAGATGCGGTCTATATGTGTTGGCGAACCATGAAGATTCCGTTCGGAAGGAACGTATGCAGTCTGAGTCTCCGTCTTGAGAGGATTGAGCTATCCTGTCAGTTGGCAGCCTTCCACGTAGCGGCTTCTAGCTTTTGGTGATTGACTAAATGCATTCCTAACTGTTTATAATGATACATTTGCACTGAGTGTCGTCGGGACGCAGTCTTCAGAGTCCATCTCACGCTCTCTTCCCTCCCCTAGGCATCAATCCGAGGTAGTCAACCGTTCGATGCTCATATTGGGAGCAAGGCACTGGCGCACTTTGACCCAGCATTTAGGCGTGCCGGTACATCTCCTATGTTACATCTGTTGTGAAATGCGCAAACTTCACCCCGCCCATGTCCTAATCTGCCCCCCCCCCCCTGTTGGCCCAGCGCATCTTCCGCGCTGTTTTGGAAAAAGAACCTTGCCAAAAATCTTGCAATCAAGCTTTCCGTCATACATAAAATTGTGTCGGCTGTCACCAAATGGTTGAACAGTAGGTTCGCTGACCGGACTGCCCATTGACTGCTGAAACATTTTCTGCGATCTCTTCGCTCGCGTTAGCTTTTGAATCTGTCGAAACGACCACATGATAATGAACATGTGTTTGAGTGGTTAGAGCGTTGGACTTCTGACCAAAACACGAGTTCGAGCATCAGAGGTTGTAAACCTGGTCGGGCGATGGCGGCTAACGAGCCATAAATGACTATTACGGTTTTCCTTGCCTTTGCCAGTAATCTTATTTTATCTATGATAGATAGACAGATTAATAAAGTGATACCGAAAAAGAAATAGGAGATCTAAATGTTAATTTCTGGCTTATTCGTTTTTACCGGACCGTCATACCAAAACCCAGGTGTGGATCACTTGTGCCGCTAACTGGGAATCTCTAGACCTTGAGTGTGACACTCTGCCGCTGGTCCACGGACCCGTCGTTCTGTCGGTTCTGATCTGAAAAATCAATTATGACAGATTGGCGCTCGACGATCAGGTCACAAAACGTGTGTTTGTCTGGCAATCGTGCCCCACAAATACAGCGAACTTCGTGTCCCCTATCACTCCTTTATGCGTCTGTCTCTGATGTTGGGGTCGAGGGAGAATCCAAAATGCCAGACCAATAAGCCTCATATATCGGTGATCGCAACTTCTCCTTCTGGACTGTTTCATGGAACTCACTCGTTCGTTTTTATCAATAAAGAACTAAGCTCTTATGATTAGGCGACTAAACCGGAAAACTGACGAATACTTCCTTACATTACGAAAGTGTTCTAACACGTTTAAAGAACCCTCGGGAAACACCAATTACACCTGGCGCAAAAATCAACAATTACGCTGAGCACTCGGCCTGTGCATTCGAAGGAAAGATTTGGCAGTTTATACGAAAAAATCTGTCTACAGGATTCCACGCAACGGCTGCAGTATCGTATATTATGGTCAAATAGGAAATCGGCTCCTACACACAAAAACAGACACAAGTTAGAAACAAATGAGGAGACCGCCTGTCTTAACTCCATACGCGTCGCTGAAAACTGGACGCATATTTGTTTGCACTAAACTGGCATTGCTGGTGTCGACCTGTTAATGGAGGGCAACAATTTCTAGAGGGCTTAGACTCCGATGGCTCGTGCACTAACATTCACATCGAAATAGACGACGTCTACAGTAATGTCAAGGACAAATGGAGAAGGCGATGGCCACTCCAAGCAAGATGTCAGCGTGTAGAAATGACTTGTGGCGGTAATGACGGAGCAGTATTATTAACGACACGTCTGACGACGGTCTAGGAATCTGAAATAAAATTTATCGACTTTCCCAAAGGACCCTTTCTTTAAAAAATGTATTGTTAATTAGCGGCAAAATGCTCATCTCTGGACATGAATGGGATAAGCCGACGATCACAGGAACCGTGGAGTTAATGTCTCGAAGTTCCGAAGGCAAACAAGCATCCGCCATCGGAGGAACGGTTTTATACAGCGCCTCACACTAATTGTAGGTGGTGATAATGCTGGCGTGGTGTCGTTCCCAGGGGGATTCTTGCAGAGCATATGCGGGAAGGAGTTGAATGTCGTCATCATTATCGGTTTTTTTCCTCCCGGCTTCGGGGGCGGTGCAAAGTTGGAAATGATTAATACCCTCGTCTTCATTATCCTCACTTGCTGCTTCGGACACGTATATCCCGTCCTCGTCAACCGTCCGCGACTGCTCAAACTCGTTTCCTCGGACAGATGCAAAAGGGAAATGACGACGAGATATGCGGGTCTGGGATAACAAATGCGGGCATGCAAATAAGAGCGATGATCGTCTTGAATGGATGAATGGAGAAAAGACCCTGATCATTAATCAGATGTCATTTTAGGACACTTTGCGTAGAGAACACCACGGAAATACGCCACACTAGCTTATAAGCACGAAAACCTGATTTTTACATCATAGACAATGAGCATTTGTTTAGTTTGTTTTACCAAGTGAAATACATGAGGCCTTATTTATAAGGCGCAGTATCCGCCGGTCCTGCTATCGGCTGTCTTTGTCTTGGTGTCGTCCGGCTTTGCACTATTTTGTATAAGAGTGAGTAATTGTTCTCTAAGGCTCAGCCCACTACCTTTTGATGTTTTTTGCTCTCTTTGAGTCTGTATCCTGTTTTATCAACATCTTACGACGACTAGTATTCTGAAAATTGCGTTTTTTGTCATACGTGCCTATAAGTGTGCATAGTCAGTCGTCTTATTGGATAGTCATCCTAGGTTGTTGCAGTTTTTTCCTCCTACGTTTGAATTCTATGACCGCCTTTCCGCCTAAGCATTAGTGTCAACAACTGCTTTTAGATGTCCCTTTATCCAAGCTTCGAGGGTCTTACTATCGGGAAAGAAGTTGATGCCCAGAATCGTTTCGCCGAAACGCTTGTTAGCTCAGCAGGTCAGACTCCAAGAAGTGATCTTCGGGCAAACTATGGAGAATTGGCCATGAACTTTCTTGGTCTGGATTTGTCTCGAGTTGTCTATGACGATTTTGGTAACGCTATTTACTCGGACCCCAGTGGACCGGGCACAGCCGTCGTGCCAGCTCCAGGAACCGCTGTCACACCTGTTCAACCCAGTGCATGTGGACCACTTGTGAAACGGAATCCGGCGATTGTGACTAACGCCGTACGTGAGCTCACTTTGCACAAGGACAAGAAAGGCAGACTGGGGATCCAGCTCCGTGACCTTGATGCTGGTGTAATCGTTTCCTACGTTGAGTGTGAAGGCGCTGCCGCCCAGGGTGGACTACGATTTGGTGACCAAGTCCTATCCATCAATGGAGTTGTTGTGGCAGGTTTCTCTGGTCGCAAAGCTATGGATCTAGTCAAGCATTCCCCGTCAGATGTTGTTTTTGTCATCCGAGATCGGTAAGTTTTATGGGGATCTTTGCTTTTTCTGTCATTGCGATCTTTGTAGTTAAGCCTCTTGTCTTCTCCTCACTGTTCTCATTAGGCCCCTTGAAAGAAACATAACGCTTACCAAGGATAGTCACGGGACTGTTGGAATCCTTGTCAAAAATGGGAAAGTGTCGGGCATCGTCAAAAATTCCAGCGCCGCCAGAAATGGTGTCCTCGTCGATCACCACATTCTGGAGGTTGGTGGAAGAAATGTCATTGGTCTGAGTGACAAGAAGATCGGAGAGTACCTTGACGTTATGGGCACCAGCGTCAACATCACCGTCATGCCCTCGTTCTTCTTCGACCACATCGTTAAAAAGTAAGTGTTTTGAGCTTTACAGGCTTTACGTACCGATGTTCTTATGCGACAGCACAGTATGCTTCTACATTTTCTCTTTTTAGACTTGGGCGGTCTGACCTCAAGCAAATGGACCGGTCTGCACCTGTTGTCTAGTTTTAAATTTCACTCCAAAGCATCTTTTCTCAGACCACTCCGAACATGCGCAATCACACCGCAACCATTGCCCATTTTCCCTCCCCAACATGACTCCCAAGCAGCACTGACAGTTCGTCACCGGATTTTCCCTCTCGCTTCGTTTCTCCGCGTGAACTAAATGACCCAAATCTAGAGAGCATTTTGCTGACTTATTCAGTTTATTTTATGAATTTTAACACAGGTAAACATTAAATTGAATGCACTTACCTGAGCTTTCTTACGCTGATCCCAGATTCTCCCCATCTTTTGTTGTGTGACATTAAATTTTTTCTCTTTATCTTGTCCGAGTGCCCGTATGTGGGTGTACATGGTGAAACCGATCTTAAGATAACGTGTAAGGTTTATAATAGGCATACCGCACGCAAGCAGTGGTGGTTATTAACACTGGTTGCGGCCTAGGTTTCCGTTTCTGCTTGGAGGGGCGGGGTTCCTTTTCTACGCCTCGTTTATGAATGGTCCGGTACTGTCGAGCTTGTTCGCCTTCCGTACTCGGTTAGAGACTTCCCTCTCGTCCCCGGCTGCCTGATTACCATTTCCTAAATAGTTGGGACATTCCAAAGAAAGAAGACCCAGTTTTTCCCTTTTATCGTTTCCTAGCTGTCCGTCCCCATACCTCGATGTGGCATTGTCCTCGCACGTGGCCTCACTAGCTTGCTCTTATGACATTGCATTTCAGGCTGTTCGGGGTTATAGCTGAGACTCATTCCGGTCTGTCCACCATCTCAGGTTGCGCGGGCCCTATAACCCGTCAACCTAGTCCATCGCCACTTCGTCGAACGCGCGAGTCGGCCTACACTGTGAAGCTGAACCTTTACAGGCCTTGGGATTAATAATCCCAAGAGTTATGCCTACTCGTGGCTTGCCTCCACCTTTTCGTTCCATTCCTTGGTTTGCGTGTCATCGAGTGTTCTAGTTCGGCTAGGCAGTCAGGTAGTTATAAACTATGGCCTAACACCATACGCATTGTGAACCGCACCCCAACTCAGCCAATTCCTGCGCTAGTTAATTTTATCTCAAGCCGCCACAAGGGATTTCCGGGAAAATAGCGCGACATGAATGAGCCCATAGATCATGAAATTGCTATCAGGATGGCCTGCTGACGTTATTCCGTCTCATACTTTCCAGATGGCCGGGGCCGGTCTGTTGCAGGGGCTTTAAATGATGGCAGAGGCGGTACCTTCGGAGCGATTAACATGCATACTTAATTTTACTAGCTTTACTAGTGTTTATGTGGGCTGTGTGAGGACGACTCACAGCAAATTAGCACACTAGGGTCTGAAACGATATGAATTGCTGGTCGAGCAGGCGCGGACCAGCATGCAACAAGCCAAGCGGGGTGGGTGGTAGTTTGACCGTCACGGACAGCTAGGTCCACCACTGTACTATGGTGCGGTTGGGATTTGCATGTGCATTCGTCTGGCGGCGTGGACTCGCACAGTGTCACGTCACTCAGTACTCAGTAATGACTGCATATGGATGCAGGAGCCATAGCTGGTAGATATATTGCCCGTCATCGCACGCCAGACGCGACCTACCCGCAACTACGCACGTACCAGACTTCGCTAGGGATCCCGACGTCTCACGAGAGGAAAGCACCATAAAGACCACATTACAAGGAGTCTGCTGCCGCCTAACCCTCTGTTCGGAGTATCTAGTTTTTTGGCAACCTCCAAAACCGTGATTTAACACCTTATGGTAGCCCCAAGCACGACCGAATTATTAAAGTGGAGAATCCGTAAGATGGTAGTTAAGCAGGATATTTCGGTAATGACATTGTTTCCTCCCCTACATTAGGGCTCCTCTTTGGTCTCTTTACGAGATTGCGTCCGTTGACGTACGTGACCTGAGCCTTCGTCTAATATGCAACGTATGTATGTCAGTAACAACTGGACACAGCCCGATTAGCCCACAGTACAAGCTGATGTGGCCCATTCTGACTTAAGGAACAGCGGCAGGACCTGTTTTTTTGAAGGTGGGAAACCTCAGGACGCAATGATCGGTAAATACAGGGATCGGCAGGTGTGGAGTTAGGAATACTCTTGAAGACAGAAATCCCGCTTCGTTAGTGAAGTGGGTGCGACGGTGTTGCGGATGGGCCTAGATACACCAACTTGGGAGTTAATTCTGCTCAGTTTTGCCTGAGGGTGATTCTCTGTCGTGAGACGATTGCCCCCTCCCCCCATCCATTCGCTAGGTTCCGTGAGATACGGGTCCTTCGGCCATACGAAGGACCTATGAAGGGTCGTTCAAACCAATAACCTGGTTTAATGATGACGGCTTCATTAGAAAACGTGACACAAAAGTAGTGCATATGGGGTTTGGAGACCTGTTCTCCAATCATGCAGCAGGACGCACCGGGCTCGAGCGCAGCTAACGCAATTCTCATATACCAGCTTTGTTGGCCATAGGAGTTTCCTCGTCGCTGGATGCGATTAATTAGTTTTCGAAGGTGATTAACCAGGACAGCTTGTTCTAGTCTTTCCGCTTGGTAACGTACGTGCAATCTTTTAGAGGGGAGGCTTTGATCCTGTCCAAAACTGCACCAGTAGTCTGGTAGAGGTTAAGTTCACAGTATAGGTGCTTGAAGGAGCTTCTATGTTTTTTACTACCCTATCCATGTGCTGCTGCCCATCGCCAATATCATCCGGATATTCCGCCCCTTTGGGACGGTCTTCAAACAGTCTCTAGTATGATGTCAAACTGGGCCTAGGTTACTTGGGACGCTATTCACCTTTCTCCGATGTCCCTGTCAATGCCTAAAGCCATCGATACGAGCACGGAGCCAGACACTGAACCAGTCCTGGTAATCCATACGGCCTCTGTGGTACTAGGAGTTAACATGGGATTGAGATCATCGCAGCGGTAAGCTCCAGCCAACACAGCAGATGAAGAGACGTCTGCCCACCCTTAGTCATTGTGTGTCATACTTTTCGACAGACGCATTCATTCGTTTGCCACTCAAACTTAGTAAGTTCCACATGCCTCAGCGACAAAGTAAGTGCGTACATCACCGTGTTTGCCTCGTTCACTACCAGAGCTGCTACCTCATACAGTAGCCGGTGACTGGCACTTCGTTATGATGCAGGAATTCACTCGCAAAATACACCTCCAACATACTGTCATTTGCTATATTTGCTAAGTACAGTGAGTGACCGCTCTCATGAAATGTTAGCTAAAATTTTGAAATGCGTTTTCAATTAGGAAGGGTTACGTGGACGCAGTTGTAATACTGATTATCTTGTGGCATAATCTTTTAATATTTCGGACTCGGCTGGATGTCAGCTTTTGAATACACTGTTATTTAATCACTTGTATACATCGTACTTGGTAAAAAATGACTACTTAACTAACATGCATTTTCCCATTGATTTTCGGTGGTCTTGCAAATTCAAATATATCTTATAGAAATCATAAACAAAAATATGCTTTCTTTCAGTCAATTAATAGCGAATCACGTCCTCTTTATATTTTATGTTCAAGGAAAAAGTATAATTCGGTTTTAAAAAGTCTTCGAATTGCTGAATAATTTGAAGCCTGATCATACGTTGCATTAGCGCTTAATGATAGCAGCCTACAAGGTGCATGTGTTCCGCGTAGAGAAGAGCACATATTTTTCTATGCCATTAAAGAGATATCATACAGAGTCCATAAAATTCTGCAATGGATGCGGACTATGTTGTACATTTCATGAGGAGCTCTGGTAAACGGCCAGGTACGATGCTATGTGAATGGACATTGCGCGTTCTTAAAAAAATCTCATAATTATAAACTTTTTTAAAAGCTAATTATACTCCTCCCTTGAGTATAAAATATAAAGCGGGCGTGATTCTCTGTTAATTGACTGGAAGAAAGCATACTTTTGCTTATGGTTTGTATAAGATATATTTGAATTTGCAAGACCACCGAAAATCAATTGGAGAAATGTATGCTACTTAAGTAGTCATTTTTTACCAAGTACGGTTTCCAAATGTGATTGAAAAGTAGTGTATTCAAAAGCTGACATCCAGCCGAGTCCGAAATGATATAAGATTATGCCGCAAGATAATCAGTATTACAACCGCGTCCACGTAATCCTTCCTAATTGAAAACGCCTTTCAAAATTTTAGCCAACATTTCATGAGATCGGTCACTCACCGTACTTAACTCTTAAATCCGTTTCCCAGTCCGCACCTTCTTCTCCGAACTAGATGTGGCAGATGAAGGGCCATGTACATTAATACATTGTTACAAAATACAGGGAGGTGCTGATTACGCTGGAGGTCCTACCACGATGAGATGTCTACATTGCCCTTGACGGGCACCACCAAGCCTACCACTTCGCCGAGAGGCCTTTTAAAAACTTAAACCAATAACGTGGGCCTTTCAGCAGCAGGTTTATCACTTCGCAAAGAAGTGCAGATAAGTTATCGGATCGTTCCACTTACATCCCGGATGAAGCGAGCTAAACGTCAACCTTCGCATGGGATTTGTGAAAGGCGCTAATTTGCTAAAGTTATGGACGAGTTTCTAAAACTTCGGGCGTATGAGGGATGGATTGAAAGCGAATAACAAGGGAATAACTTTCGTGTGAACAACTCCAGCATCACGTCTAAACAAGAAGTACGTCAGAGAAGGTTGAGATTTGTGTGCTTTTCACTACCCAATTCCTCTCAGTCTGCTACCCTATCCATTAAATCCTGCTGGTAATTAAAAGGTCAAAGGTCGTTGTCATGAGTACCATTCGAAGTTAGCAGTAATGGCCACACTCGTAATTCTCATTTTGTTTCTATAAAAGCCAGAAAATTGTCGGTGACTGTGCTAGACTGATCAAGAGATGCACCTCTCTCTTTGCTGATTATTCATGTCGGTAGGTTTAATTGTGAATACAGTCGGAGGACCAAAAAAGACTCACAATGCACCGACGGCCTTTATAAACTCTGTCACAGAACTCTGATTTTCTGTGGGTCGTTTCACCCGCC